TACATAGGTACAGGAGAACATGAATGTCTGAATCACAATAAAACACGGATGTGGTTTGTGTTGTGTTTCAGGTGAGAAGCCATATGAGTGCTCCAACTGTAAGAAGAGGTTCTCCCACTCCGGCTCCTACAGTTCCCACATCAGCAGCAAGAAATGCATTGGCTTGATCACCGTCAATGGACGAGTACGCAATGGAAACAACGGCAAGTCCGGCTCCTCTCCCAACTACACAACCTCATCGCCAAAGAGCCCAGCCCTTGCCCAGCTCTGCCACAAACTGGAAAATGGCAGACCAATTGGTGCTCCAGATCAGCAGGGTCCGCTGGACATCAAAGCCGAGCCAATGGACTTCAACGAGTATCGGCTGCTCATGGCCTCGCAGCAGGGGTACGGGGGACCTGGGGTTTATCTCAACAGCTGTGGAGGAAGTCCTCTTGGGATACACAGCTCCTCTCAGAGCCCCCTTCAACACCTGGGAGGCATGGGATTTGAGCTCCCCCTGCTGGGCTACACAGGGCCTCTTGGGAACAACCTGAGTGAAGTTCAAAAGGTGCTTCAGATCATGGACAACACAGTTTGCAGGCAGAAGATGGATGGAAACCCGGAGGAGATCTCTAAGCTTAGGGCCTACATGAAAGAGCTGGGTGACCAGATGGAGGAACAGAAGCAGGTCCAGGCCGGCTTCCAGGTCATGGGCCACAGCAGCCCCACAAAGAGCATCATTGACTACACACTGGACAAGGTCAACGAGGCAAAAAGTCTGATCGATGATTCAAAGAGGCAAGTGGACGTTAAGAAGGAGAAACCAAACCAATCAATGGATCTCAGTGGAGAGGAGAAATTCTCCAATGGCCAGAACCAGTTCCTGCCTTTCTCCTGCCAGTATTGCAAGGAGACATTCCCTGGTCCAATCCCGCTGCATCAACACGAGCGCTACCTGTGCAAAATGAACGAGGAGATCAAAGCCGTCCTGCAGCCGACCGAGAGCAGTTCTGTTGCTCACAGGAGAATGATGACCTCTGAGCTTCCCTCAAATGAGCGGGCGACCAGCCCCATCCACCCCTTCAAAGACCACGTGTCAGTGCTCAAGGCCTACTTTGCCATGAACACTGAGCCCAACTCAGAGGAACTGCTCAAAATTTCAATAGCTGTTGGTCTTCCTCAAGAGTTTGTAAAGGAGTGGTTTGGCCAGTGGAAGAGTCAAAACCACCACCGAGACAGTCTGACAAAAAAGTCTCCCCCTCATGATTGCAGTGGATCAGACAACAAGCACAGCTTGAGCCAGTCACCAATGTCACTTCCTGTCTTAGATTTACATGGAGGCTTTGCAAACGGGAGTACCAACCACAAACTCACAAAAGGAAACCAATTTACAGCCAACAGGCAAACAGCAGGTGACAAACCATTAGACCCCTTGGACCACTTGAGAAGCAACACTCCATCACCTCTCAACCTTTCCTCTACTTCCTCCAAAAACTCTCAGAGTAGCTCGTACACTCCAAACAGCCTAGCTTCAGAGGATGCCCACGGGGATATACCACTAGACCTGTCGCTGCCCAAACACATGGCGCAGAGGCTTTTCACTGTCGGAGAGAAGCGACCTAGACAGAACGGTTTCATCAGCGGGCACAGCGGACATGTGCAAGTACGAGAACAAGGGTCCAATTCTTTAGACCTGGTCAACATCAAGAAGGAAGTCCTGGGCTCTGAAAGTGGAGGGACCTCTCTCCACCAGCTGGAGAAAAGCACCAGTCCAATCTTTGGGATTAATCCCTTCGCAGGCACTCCTCTCTACACCTCCCTGCCACAACATGGAGCTTTTCCTCCACCCACCTTTATGTCTTCTGCCCAGGCCACCATCCCAGGCCTCAGACCCTACCCTGCCCTTGACCCCATGAGCTTCCTGCCCCACATGGCCTATACGTATGCCACTGGGGCAGCCACGTTTGCTGAAATGCAGCAGAGGAGAAAGTATCAACGGAAACCATGTTTTCAGGTAAATATAATCCTCAAACGTCATTTACAGGTCATCAGATTCAGCATATTGTTTTGAAGGTCAGGGGTCTGTAGGGTTTCAATATAATTATAACCAACTGCCTGAGCTGCTGATTCACAGGCGAGTTCAGCCTCTGCTTAAGGAGTCCGTATCTGTGTGAGGAGTTTTTGTGCTGTTGGCCTTTCATGGTTTTGGCAAAGTCTTCTGCTACACAGTTCTCCCAACACAAGCCAGAGACAGGTGCTCCCTCTTTTATTTTGATAATACAAATCAAATAGTCTCATATCGAGATTTCTCTCTGTGGCATCAGGGAGCAATGAGCTAATCACTCCCTGATGAGCTGGAGGTGCTCTCCTGAACCAATTCCACCCTCACGGTGGTTCAGGTTCATGTTTACCTTTAAACTCAAAATCTGTCAGTGTAGAGTTTCAGAAAGAGTCAACAAAGGAAACGTTGTAGGTCCTTCAGTGTGAGCTGCTCCCTCCTTCATTTCCTCTTTATTTATATTTATTACTTACACATTATATGCTGTGTTTATTCATATATACTATGTTTTATGTACACATTATATGCTGTGTATATTCATATATACTATGTATTATGTACACATCATATACTGTTTATATTCATATATACTATGTATATGCTTTGTATATACTGTGTATATAATACATAGTATGTATAAAAGACCATGGTAATTGAGATCAAAGCCAGAGAACTCTGGTTTGATGTGATTAAAGGTAGTTTCCATGGCGATGGTGATCATATGTTTTGAATGTGTAAACCCTCCCATATGTTCCTGGATGAAGGGTCTTACCCAGGTCTTTAAGCTCCATCCAGACTTGGGATCATGGAGTCGGTGGGGGGGGGCAGCAGGAGGTGCCAGGTGTGGATTATCAGATGAAACCATGTGTGTTCGTGTTTCAGGCGGAGCTGCTGGACGGGACAGTGGAATATCTGTCGGGTCTGGACGACCTGACAGACAGCGATTCGCTGCTGTGCAGGAAGAAGATTAAGAAGACTGAAAGTGGTATGTACGCGTGTGACTTGTGCGACAAAACATTCCAGAAGACCAGTTCCCTCCTAAGACACAAATATGAGCACACAGGTAGATATCACCATATATAACACTTCTTTTTACCCCACTCTCCCTTTTCTTTCTGTTCTTTTAGTCGTGTAGCTGCTCCACTCGTCTTTTCTTTTTCTTTGTGTTCTGTTTTGTTCTGTGAACCATGTTAACATGTTCCTTTCTTTACAGTGGGGAGTCACGGATAGTCCACATTCACAGGAAACATACAAGAAACATGTTCCAGAGGCATCGCATACATACTCTGTGCGTGTGTGTGTGTGTGTGTGTGTGTGTGTGTGTGTGTGTGTGTGTGTGCGTGCGTGTGTGTGCGTGTGCATGAGAGAGAGATTGTGTGTGTGTTTCTGTACTTTGTTTCTTACCTTTGTGAGGACCATTTTAAGCATTGACGTTCAGAGTGAGGACATCTTGACCAGTCCTCACTTTTTGAAAAGGATGTTTGAGGGTTAGGTTAGAGTTCGACTTCGAGTTAGGTTACACATAGACATGTGGGGCCTGATCTATTAAAGGTTTGCATGTGTAAAAACATGTGCAAGCTGATCTACTAAGTGAGGATTGTATGCAGAATAACATGTTCATTTAGTATGTTTGCCTTCATGAATATGCAACATCAGGTGTTTGTTCCCAAAAGTGCGCAAAATATTGAGAGGAGTAGATACAAATACTTAAATTGAGCACACGCATTGTGATTTACAAAGCCTGAGTTTGTGACTGCGTCTATATTTAATGAGTTTGATTTGTTTTTGAAGCAAATTGAACTGACATGATTCTTGTTGTTCTGGTTTGTTCCCTCATGTTTGATCACTTATTGTGAGTCGCTTTGGATAAACGCTTCAGCTCAATGTAATGTAAAAGGTAGGTGCTAATCGGCACAGCAGTTATTGTGGTGAGGATTGACAGAAGCAAAAATAATTCCTCTCTTGCCAGGGCACTGATCGTCACACCAGATACAGCTGACCAGCTGAGGACTGAAGCGTGTGTTTAGCCTATATGTCATCCTGACTGAAGTGTGTGTCTAGCATGTGCGGCATCCTGAGTCTGGTCTTGTCTTTTGTGTCTCCGCAGGAAAACGCCCTCACCAGTGTCAGATCTGTAAGAAAGCCTTCAAACACAAGCACCATCTCATCGAACACTCACGCCTGCACTCCGGAGAGAAGCCCTACCAGTGCGACAAGTGCGGTAAACGCTTCTCACATTCAGGCTCGTACTCGCAGCACATGAACCATCGCTACTCGTATTGCAAGAGGGAGGCAGAGGAGCGTGAGGCGGCAGAGAGGGAGGCGCGGGACAAGGGCGGAGCAGGAGGCATGGTGGTGGGAGGTGTAGAGACCACGGAGCTACTGATGAGGAGGGCCTACCTGCAGGGACTGGGGACACTTGGATATTCAGACCTTGAAGACCAGCAGGAAGACGGCGGCGGCGATTTGACCCTGAGGAATGGACGGGGAGGAGGGGAGCAGAGGGAAGTGGACAGGAAGACGTACGAGGAGGTGATAGACAGACAGGAAGCAAGCTTCAGGGAAGGAGAAGAGGAGGAGGATGGCAACAGCAGGAGCCAGATGGACTCTACGAGGGACGAGGATTGTAAAGATGCAATGCAGCTGATGGACGAGAGTTCACGAGATGGGAAGACAGACAGGCAGACAGAGCAGAACGACTGATCGAGGAAAAAAAAGCTTTGGAACATTTGTGTTGACGTGATTCCTGACAGAGGCTGTGCAGACATTATCAGATGGTTCTATTAAATATTCAGCATAAATATGATTTGTTCATACGAAGGTTTTTTAGACTGTTCATGTTCCTGAATGTGAAGAAATACATTTAAATATGGATCCAACTCTAAAACTAAAAATCATCTATTTTAATCTGATCAATGTCTCGACTCTGGATCACGTCTGTTTGTGAAAGAGAAAACTAAGTAAAAGACAAACCTACAACACAAATACGTGAAAACACACGTCATCATCAATCAATAATCAATATATATGAATAGCCTCTAACAGATAATCTGAGGGAGAAAAACAACATGTGAGGAGCTGAATGAAAGAGTCAGTGAAACTGTTTCCTCCTCATGAATAAAGACAATGCTCTTTATTATATATTTATGGGGGGGCTGAATAATCTCTGGACAGTCTCTGATGAAGATACGACAAGAAGAGCACGACGTGCACTGACGTGCATGCTGTGTTTAAAAATCCACATTATGCAAAAAATAGATAAAGAAGTGATGATGTTTGTTTTAATGATGTAAAAAAAAAGCTGCGTGGTGCTAACATGTTCTTCACTTCCTGTGTCTGAAAAACCCACATCTGGAAATAAACTGCACTCGACTTCCTGGATCACTACAAAAAAAAGAAGTGAAAAAGAGTCATGGAGTCACATCCTGTCAGTGTTATCGTTGTATTTCTGTCTTTTTATTTGCTGTGATGCTTTTTTTATCCTCTTTTATTATTTTTCACAACTAACTTCTGGAGTTTTTCTATATGTGAAGGAACATTTAAATCTGAGCGATTTTAAAAATAAGATGTTGATGTGAGTCTTAAAGATGGAGAAAAAGCCTTATATGCAAACCTGTCCACTGTTTCTGCAAAGTGCCATCCCCGTACAGTGTGAACGTCCTGCTGGCTTCAGTCTTCATGAATCTTCATCCTGGTTCTGATCCGTCACTATTAGAGACGTAGATAGAACTTGGTTAGTTAACATATTTGTGCAATTCCCTGTATTTTCCCCTGGTTTTGTTCCACAACAGTATTTTTGTCAGTATTATATTTTTGTTTTTGTTGAATCTTTCGACACAAATGTATTTTTTGTTTTAATGCGAGAATCTAAAGAATTCTTCGTATGTCCATCTGAGGGATGAGTAGGAAAGGGAAGAGATCCACACCAGTGATTTATTCTGCTGCGACGGTCCAGACCTTCATCAGGCAGGTTGGTTGAAGCTGGACAGTGGGCAGGAGCTCTTTTGCAGTTTTTTATTTGAGAATTTACCATTTTATTTATGTGACTCATTTTATATTTCCTCATTTTATTTATTTCATACTGTAGTGTACAGTATTTCAGTTCCTCAAAAATAGATATATTTTAGTAAAATGTTTCTGTCACTGACTATTGGAACAAAAATATGATTACAGACCCTTTATCCTATTTGGAACATGTCTTTTGAAAATGTTTTGTTTTGTTTTCTTACCACTGGAAATCCTAAATTCGAGGAACTTTTGATACGATTATTGTTAAAACACTGTATTTGTAAAAGTTAAACCACTTCATCCCACTGAAGAGGGGACAAACGACTGATGATGATGATGATGATGATGATGATGATGATGAAGGAAGTTCTGAAATGTATGAAATGTCTGAAGTATTATTATTGAAATTTTAATGTTTCTTGGAAATGAACAAGAATAAATGTAGCCAAGTTAAATTTGAATAAAGTTGTGTTTTTCAAGGAAGTGTATGTTTGTGTGTGTGTGTATGTGTATGTGTATGTGTGTGTGTGTGTTTGTATCACAATTGACACTGCTATGTTTGTTAGGAATGCCGGGTTAATGTCAGGTTAATGTCTGGTTAAAGTCAGGTTAATGTCAGGTT